GTTTGGTCATGGGCGCTTTGAGGTTTGATCTTCCTTGTGTTCTAGGACCAATGATTCCGGTGTCGGGCAAATCTAGACCACTCTACTCTTGAACACATTTTCTAGGTCTTCAATTCTCGCCCCGAAAGAGGAATATGGTACACGTTCCCGATCAACAGTGAGAAACTATCTACTACCCGGAAGCGCAAAAGCAACTGCGGAGGAAACGTTTGGAGCATGCTCTCCCTTGAAAACAAGCCACCAGAGAAGGATAGGGGAAAATCCCCCCCGCCCACCGCACCACCAATAGCAGTCGTCTGCCTCTTGGTAACATTCGTTTGCTCGATTGCAATAGCTAGCGGCAATCGACCACTCGAAAAATTCGTTGCATGTGATGCTTCCTGGTAGACGCGACAATCGTCATGTCTAAAGACGCAAGTGCTGCGATACAATTAAAAGCAATAAGACTCGCTTTTTTCTGGCAGGTACTTGTGGTTATGTGAGTGAAATGGACCGATTTGGGAAGGATACCGGGCTTCGAAGAGAACGGAAATGGAAAGAGCAAGATTTGCGAACGGGAAAGTAGACTGCTAAGGATATCTGTCTCAAGGAAAGTTCCAGCGCATCTCTTGATACGATTTCTTGCCATGGACAGCCCGAATTGCTTCAAAAGTATGCATGGTCGACCGCAATCTCTGTTCGCGTTCCTCATGCTCTCTTCTGTTGACAATACCGAATTTCTTCCAGTGAGAGTAAGTGACACTTCCTTCATGAAAGCGGTGGCTGTAATTTTTTCACGACGGCACTGGTCTAAGTAAACTCCAGAATACATCCCGAATTCAATATCCGGCTGCTCGTCAAATAGAGAGCACACTATCAAGAAGTTATCATCGTTGAGGGCCAGTTCAATCATTCGTTCCAGTTTTCTTTTTTGAGTATAGTCATGCTCCGATCCGTGCCCAGACTCTGCGTGAGCAGCTTCAGTTTCTGAAGCGTCGTTCGGATCCACAATTCTGGCAGCAGCATCCGTGCTGTTATTTGGAAGGGAAGTATGCTCAACTTCACGTTGCTCATCATTGACCTCTTGAGGTGAGCGACTGGGTTCTGCACGGATGGCTCTGGAGCGGTCCGAAAGCGAAATGCTACAGTTCGCACATAAGTCGCCCCGTGGCGTCTCTGTTTCAGGTTCAGAAGATCTTGAATGACTCTCCGACGTTGACCTATTTGTGGCCCTGACCACAGGATTGTAGGTCTCCATAATACTCTTGCATATTTCTGTGGTATAACCCCAAACGCAAATTAGATTAGGATTGGATCAGGGACAGTAAGGCAACGAGCCTTACAGCCATGCGCGCACACACGTGTCCTCCACGTGTACGGGACGCGTACTACACGTGGACTGTCAGCCCCGCCGGCTGACAGCGCTACAGTGTCGGTAGACCGGCACTACTGTAGAGTTATGATAGACTACGATGTACATTAAATATGAGCGGACCGCCGGCGGTGGAGGACGACAAGCACGGACTTGTCAAGGATCCTCCACCTTGGTCCGCCCGCTTACTTTTAGGTACTTCCGTCCGTTTTACCTAGAAGTAGCACCGCGCGCGGGTTGAGGACGCGCGTAGCACGCCCACGACCGGCTCCGCCTCCGCCCGTCGGTACTGGATCGTCACCCAGTACCGCTCCGGGGCGTCGAGGCGTAGAACCGCTCGCGCGTGCGCGCGTCCTCCCCGATCCCGCTCTACCACCGCTACCTCGAGCCCGTGCTCGGTACCGTGGGTGGGCCGTGCTTCTGTCTTCCCGCCGATCAGGGTCTTTCCGAACTGTCAGTACTCACCCCCCTCGTCGTTGGGGGTGATTATACTACAATTTCGTATGCCTCCATTTCAGTATTTGTTGTAAGAGCGTTCACAGACCACGCAGATTTGATCCACTCACTGACATCCGCCATCTCAGTCATACGTTTAGTGGCAGAGGGCAGGCGGCAGCCACTGTATTTCTTCGATCTCTTTGCAAGGGTCGGATATGGAGGTGTAAGAAGACCTTGGTCGTGACTAGAAATGTTATTGTGACGCAAGTGTCCCCCTTCCATGTAGAAAGAGCGCATTTTCATGCATCGCTCAGTTCTTCCGAGGCGATATGGCTTTTTTAAGAGACGTTCAAATATTTCAACGAGCGGTCCTGTTGACCTTGAAGTGGAGATATGATCGCTGCTGTTACCTCGGACACAAAATGCGTGCAGATAATCCTCATAAAGTCGCTTCTTCAAAATTTCTCTTTGACGAATGTAATCTCTTTGCTGTTGGGCTCGCTGTACTCTCTGCCGGGACTGCGAAGATCGAATTGAGAAACGACCACGGCCATCTCGTCGCACAACTGGGCGACATATATCTCGAGGGAGAACGACTGGAACAGAAACTAACTGTGCTTCGGTGTTAGAACGATCGGAACGCGAAGAACTACCTTCCTCCGGCCCTGACATTGAAAAGTATGCGGAGAGGAATGATGCATAGAAAGTCGTCAGAAACAGATAGAACTGTTGAATGTCTTTGACGATTGGTGTCATCGTACCGAAATCACAGGAGCAGTGCAGATATGGAAATAAAAGGGCGATGAAGGGGGCGTAATGATGAGGCATAAAGCGATTTTCAAAACTTCAAACTGAAGGATCAGTGTTGCGTAACATTGTTAAGAATAATATAAGAGAATGGAGGGCGTGAATTCGCTGGGGAGAGCAATAGGGAACAACAACTTAGCATATTTTGGGATCACTGTGGACATGCTCAATGAATAGAAAAATAATGTACCTGTACATGCATTCCGGTGCAGCTTCTGTACTCGGTGCCCGGGATCCCCGTGTTGATACACAGAAACATAGTCCTATCTCACTAATACTCCTAGGAGTATTAGTGTCAGGGCTTGAGAAAGCCGCCAACGAAGATGAGAGAAATGCGATTCTTGTCACCGGGGTGAGATCCTGGGATTTGAAGCACTGGATGCAATCCCTAGATCTGTCTCGGCGGCTAGATAGAAAAGCGCGGTGCAACTCATCAATGGGATTTTATAGGGCCTCGTCTGGATCGGGATCGAACGCCCCGGAAAGGATGGCTATGTGAAGAATTAGTACGAATTCCAATAGTTTCGCAAGTTTCGCTGGGACACCTGTCTAACTTTCTCCACAAGTTGCAGACATTTTTGTGTGAAAAGCCAGGACTTCGTAAGAAATACAAACAGTTTCGGGAAAATAAATTGTGGAAAGGGACACATTACAGTGATAGTGGAATGCATGATCACCCCATCCTGGAACAGAGTAATACATTCCACTTCTTGCAACCAATAAAATTTGATGGGGAGAAATAGCCTTTCATTCCCGTTTATCCAGAAAAAATGCAGCATACATACCCACCGTGACAAACTGATCACGGTGCAACAGTCTGTTTTGTCACCGGTGTTTTTCTGCCAAACCTAGAATTCTCATGAAGCGCACTCTGTCAGCTAAGCCCCATCTGGATACAGTAACCTTACATAGCCAGCGCCGCCGGTCGTCACCCTTGTTGGACACCGTCATAATAAACCGCATGTATCTTACATGGTACAAGTAGCATCGCGTATGGCTGAGCGCCATACGCTTGCAACAACAATGCACGCTTTGCTTTTGCTTTGCTTTTTGTTGGATAAAAAAAACTTTATCACTACTACAGATACCGTGCACATCCCTCTCCTCCTGTCTCCTGGCCAGGGGGCACTCCCTGTGGTGCAAGATCGATGCCTCCGTTTACTGATGCCTATCGTGTGCCCGCGGGGCAAGGGGTCAAGGGTCAAGCATGCCCGCCCAACACTGGTCTCTACCTTATAAGGGAATGGGAGGGATCAGTGAGATGGCGGTGAATTTTTGTTTTTTGTTGGATAAAGATGATCTAATTGCGCTGTCATGCGTGTGCTACGTGTGCACGTATGGCTCTCATGACACTCCCTTTTACCACACTTTTCTGAGATGCATACACGTGTCAAAAGTGGTGGGACAAGCGGTTTTTGACCTGCAATGCACTATTGACGGTTTGCACTGCACTACTCACAACTGCACTATTGAGGAGGAACTCTCCGTAAAATTCCAAGATCGTAAAATTCCAAGATCAGTCGCGGGCGCGGCGGTGGCGCTGCGGCATTCATACAGGTACAGTAGTGTTACAGGTGCCGTCCGCTCCCCAATCAAAGTGCAGAGTCAAAGTGCCTCCCCATGCCGCCCTCCCGCTCTCCTCCTCTCCGCCCCTTCCTCCATGGCCTGCGACGTCGCCACCCTGACCGCCATCCGCGCGCGCTGGCTCCCGCGCCAGCTCCTCCTGCTCCCGCCGTTGCCGTACCTCGAGCTCCACCTCACGCCCGGCGGAGTCCCCGCGCTCTCCTCCGCCGCGCAAGCCCGCACCACCGACCCCGTCTTCCGCTCCTTCACGCACACCGCCGCCCTCCCGCACGCGTGCGGCCCGGTCGACGCCGTCTTCGTCGTGCGCGACGCCGCCAGCGCCGACGCCCGCATCGGCACGGCCCGCATCTCGCTCGACGCCGCCCACGTCGAGGGCTGGTTCCCGCTATCCGACACAGGCGCCGAGCTCTACGTCGTCCTCACCCGCCCGTCCTACTGCGCACACCGCTGGTCCGACTGCCCCCGCGCCCCGCCCGCCCCCATGCATCGCCGCAAGTCCTTCCCGCGCCCCGCCGCGGGGGAGCTGCGCACCGTGTCGAAGGAGGTCGGCATGCTGTTCCGAGAGGGCGAAATGCGCGTGTCCGTCGAAGCCTTGGACGTCCCCGTCGGCGCGAAGGAGGCCTCCGTCACCCTGCAAATCGGTGATCAGCTCCTGTGGGGCGTCGAGACCCAGGATTCGGCAAAGGCGTGGAGGAAGCGTGTCGCGAGGGAGGGCAGGGAGGACGACGACGCCCCGCGACCCGTTGCCCGCGCCGCTTCTGCAGCCCACGATGTCGTGCGCAAGGCCGCTGAGAGCCACAAGGTCGGCGCGGCCGTCATTATGGTCACAGGAAAGTCGGAGAGGGTACTGGGGAAGATTACTGGCGCGCGTAATGGGGGGAACAATCTCGCCGCCGACAAGTTGCACCATCTCTTTGCAGCGGCGGGGTCGTATGCGAATACCCTTGGGCGGGATAAAGTTACTGCGGAAGCCCACGCGGCTAAGATTGGGGCGCAGTCTGAGCCGCCGTCGGAGGAGGAGAAGGGAAAGGTCGCGCCTGAGAAGCCTGAAACGAATGGGGCGAATGATAGATGGGAAGAGGTGCTATTGCGAAAAGAGGAACATGGACAAGGTGAAGGAGGGGAAGGTGGAGAAGGGGACCTCGAAGGGCCCGAGCAATCGACGGGGATTACCGCGTTTTTGCAGAGCACAAGCGAGCTTGTGGAAAGCGCATACGTCGGCTCAGACTGTGAGTTGGCCCCATCTGTGGAGGAGGGAGAGGAAGATGATAGTGACGACGAGGACGAGGACGAGGACGAAGAAGAAAAAGAAGAAAAAGAAAGAGAAGATGGAGAAGGAGAGGCTGATCAACTTGCCACAAAGTCTGAAAAGGAAGCCCCCACCAAGCAACTAACTGCCGAGAGCGCGGCCCAGGATCTGAAGCGCCACGTCCATTTTGGCTCGTTCCGATTCGCCGTCATGCACGGTATCGCACCGCGCATGATGTATATCAAGCTTGTGGACAATGCGGCCCCGCTGCCAGCTCCGCTCGGGCTCTTTCAGGAGCATCATATCAGGATTCCGAAGCTAGCGGACTTGAACTGCACATGTCAAAAGCAATGCAAGACCCATGTTTTTCGACTGCGCTTGAATGGTTTGGAGTATGGGAGGGTCACGTTGTCGCTCCGCATCGAATACACCCATTGGAAGCCCTTGGCGACATCTACAGATGTTACCAACCGCTTCCTGGAAATATTCTCCCGCACAGACAAGCTCCCTGGCTTGATTCACAGCCGCTTTCCAAAAGCTTCCACGTATCGGTATTTGTTGGTAGGCGGGCTTTTCACGCAGCACTATCCCACATACTTTGAGAAGAACATTCGCTATCTCAAGGAGAAACTAGGGTTTCGCAATGTGGAGGAAGTGCCAATTCACACGGAAGGGAGCATCCAGAGAAATGCACGCGATATTCACGAGGCGATCATGAAATGTAAACCGAAACCAAAGTCAGTGATTTTAATCGGTCATTCGAAGGGAGGCGTTGATGCAGCGGAAGTAGTGAAAAGGTTTCCAGACGTTGTGCCGTTCTTGCATGGAATCTTGTCCTTTCAGGCGCCTTTCGGGGGAACATATCTCGTAGACTTCGTTTCGAAAAGCAGGATTGCGGCGCACACCATCGCGGGGGCGATTGAAAAGTTGGCGCGCGGCGATGAAGCAGCCTTTGCCGACATGGGATATAGTTCGCGCTTTCGGTCTTTGGGAATCTATCGGAAACCCCTTGATACAGGAACTGAATCGTCCCATTCAGACAGAGACTCGGACGCCGCTGTGGAGTCTTCCGATTGTCCTCCATTTGCAACTCGGTCCACTGACGGAATGCATGCAGTGCACGAGGAAAGTCTCGACTATCTTCGATCCGTTCCAATGGTCGCATTCGCAAGCAGGGCTTCATTTGATGTCCTCAAGATTCGGAGCGCGGCAACTGCGGCTGGTGTAGCGACTATGGCACCAGCAGCTCAAGTGATCGCTCAACATACGGGCTACTCGTGCGATGGGTTGGTCACAGCGCACGACGCGAGGTTTCCCTTCGCCGACAATGTCATGTTGGATGACATGATGCATACTGAACCTGCCTTGTATGTCAAGGGCACAAACTACCCGCCAGGACAGCTAACCGCGTCCGGGTTGTTGCTTTTGTTTGAACGAGCAGCAAGAGACGGATGAGCGCGGCAGGATGGTTGCGACAAAGATCTGTAAGATAGCCTTGTTTTAGCGGCTAATTTTAATGCCATCAAAGGACGTCTTCCCCAGCAGTGTGCGCCGACTCGCTTGTGATTCTCCCAAGAAATGACTTATCACTGAATGGCACTGCAGTGAAGGAATGCACATAGTCTAGATTGTCAAGATGACAAGAGTGTCATGTCTGAAATGACGTCACATTTCAACTTAAAAATTAAGATAGCTACAACTGCTTGCAACAGTTCTGTCTTCTGTGCGTTCCACAGATGAGTTGCGAAGTCGGGCAGACCGGAAACGCCCACTCTCCGAAAGTTGTTTCTCCAGATGTGTCCCAATTAGTCGATCAATAGCTTTCTTTTATGTCAAAAATTGGAGAGCTGCCGAGTTCTCCTAAACCATTTATATTTTCGGCAGAAAGCACACCAAATTCTCATTTTTCAGAGTGTTCAGAGACGAGAATGATATTCGAAAGTAGTAATGGATCGCTTGGTTGAAGTACAAACGCACAAAAAGAGACGTATAAGTTTCGATGTTGAAAACGCCTTATTTTACGGACAACGTTATTAATTGAAATTCAGAAGTCATTTTTGGACACCGCTTTCTTACCGTACCTGTCCTCTGCAATAACATCTTGCAGAACACTGGAAGTTTTGGGGACATTGAAAGACTAAGAATGTATTGCAGATTAAATACCCAGTTGCTTTTTTGGACTGGCGCTTTTGGTTTCGAAGCCTCTTTACAAGCGGTTTAAGGTCGTTTAAAGATGCTTCTTTTCCAACCATTTCCAAAAAAGTCGGGAAGAACATGAAGTTCTTATTTATCCCTTTCTTTCCACATATTAGAAGTCAAGTAAGGTAGCGAGGGCATCTTTCTCCTTCTTGTCGGGAAAGCGCAAGTCATGAAAAAAGTATGTCGAAACGCGACTTCAGATGAGGACAACGGTCGATAGACACTTAACTAGTGGAAGTTGTTATTCTTTTCATACAGATGCATGTCTTGCATCAGATATCGTTCTCCAAGGAACGTGAAAAGTAAAACATTGTTCTGCCCAATTTCAGCTTTTCTCAGTCCCAAGGAACTCTGGAATGATATATTCTATTTACGTGATAGTCAGATGTACATGCGCTTTCAAAAATTGATGGTGTTAGCTGTACGACAACCTGCAATTTAGTAAGTACGCATCCCCTTAATTTACGGAGCCTCGTCATTCGCATCGCCGGCTTGCATGTCTCGTGGCTTTGGACCTCCAGCCGTCTTGGCCATGATGATCTGGTCAACTCGTAGAATGGTGGCCACTGCATCGGTCGCCAGCTTTATACCCCAATGTTTGACAATAAGCTGGTCAAAGACGGACGCCTCAACTGAATCCATTACAGCGCCCTCTTCGACATCAAGACCGGCCGTCGCCTTGCCTGCCGCGTGAGCGGCGACGAGTGTACTGATCATGTTTGTAGCATCTAAACCAGAAGTTTCAGCTAATACTCGCGGGATAACCTCGAGGGCCTCTGCATACTTTGAAATGCAGTATTGGTCAAGCCCTGGCCTCGTTTCGGCAAATTTCTGAAGCCTTCTTGAGAGCTCAAGCTCGCACGCTCCTGCTCCTGCAACAAATCGCGGATCTTTTGTCATGCCCTTAAAGACATTCACAGCGTCATCAATTGCTCTGTCGATGTCATCGAGGAGATTTTGAGTGGACGCGCGAAGTAAAATGGTAGCAAGACGCGACCCTTCTTTCTCCTGTCGGAACACCGTGCACTTTGTTGACCCAATTTCCTCGACCTGTACAAGGTCGCCACGTCCAATCTCATCAGTAGTTGGTGTTTGCATTTTAGCGAGTGCAATAGCTTTTGTCGTTCGAGCGACGCGGCGCAGGTCAAACTTGGACATGCATTTGATCGCCATGATCTTATACTTTTCAAGGAAATGCATAGCGACTTCGCCAAACTTCGGTGCAGCAATGACAGAAACGCCTGCTTCCGAAATGGCCTTGATCTTAGATTCCAGCATGGATTCTTCTGACTTCGTATAATTTGTAAACTCTTCGGCTGACTTAAGCAAAACTGTGCCTTTTGTCTCCGACTGTGACGCCTCAAAATCACAGGTATACACAGCAACACGGGCATCGCTCACCCTCTTTATTGTCCCCTCTGACCCTCGTAGTAAGACAGCGCCTTGGACGACTGTGGAATTGGTGATGGAGCCGCCCAGCATTTTTGCGACCCTGATATTTTCCACGCTGAACATGTTCGCGTTGGCTGGCATGACTGAGATGCATGCCTTAGCGATGAGAGGAGCGAGAGTGCCCTCCAAGCCATATTGCTTTGAAGCTATGCAAGACGTCAAGGCTTTCGAGACAGACTTGATGTCACGGATGTCCGACACTTTGTGGACGGCAAGTTCTTGCAAAATTCCTAGCGCTTCTTGGCCAGCACGCTCGTAGCCTACGATGAATCGCGGAAGAGCAGTAAACGAGTGATACAATTTGAATGTTAGATAACAAACCAAAGACTATTGGCGAACAGGAACAGTAAGTGTGCTTCTCACAAACCATACAAGTGCAAGCGTACCCTGGACGACCTCTGCCGTATTGAGCCCCATCCTGAGGAGATTCTCCGCCTGGTCTAATAGCTCACCCGCGAAGGCGACGACGAATCCAGTCCCGTCGCCCACTTCTCTCTCTTGTGCCTCGCTTGCCATGACAATGAGCTTCGCAGCCGGATGAACGACTTCGAGCTCGCGAACAATTGTGGCGGCGTCAGAAGTGACGAAGAGCTTGTTAAGATGGTTGACAATCATCTTGTTCATGCCGTTGGGTCCAAGCGAAGATCGGACGAGCGCAGAAAGCTGACGGCACGCATCGATGTTGCGCAGGACGGCATCATCGAGGCCGGATACTTGTTTGGTACCCTCTTTTAAGAGGCCAGAGAGGCCCTGATTGGGGACGTAACTTGGAGCCATCGCGCGGCGGGAAGACGAAGTAGTAAGCTTGCAGAGGGAAAGAGGTTGAGAAGATGTGTGTGATCTGGGTGTGGTGTGAAAGGAATGCGACGGCGAATATGTTGGACGGGGAGAAGAGGGAGAGAGTCCTGTGGTTGCGCGCCAAAAAGCGACCGTCGTAGCATGTATTTTGATAGAATTGAAGGGATCAAATTCCTTGATCTATCGATGTGCAGTTGATGTCGATATTTAATTTGACGATGCACGGACGAATTGGGCGACTCCTGAAATTCTAAAATCGCAAATTGTGTTGACCAAATCGGGATTTTGTGACACACAAACGGCGCGTTGTGCACACACAACGCGCCGCTTTCTCGGACGGGCGACCCCATGCTAGGTTAAATGTGTATCGCACAAATGTCAAAATGTGCGCGCGTGCAATCCAAATTTACTGTACACAGAGAAAGCGTCGGCCGCCGCCCGACCGACGAGACTCGACATCTACATCCTACCGAGCATGGCTCTGAATGAGAAGCAGCAATAGAATAGCCAATTGGTCATTCATTGTTCTGACGGTGGCTGCTAGCAGCCATAGTGCGATGAGTGTTTTCACCAGCTAGCACTAGCTGGTGAAAACACTCATCGCACTATCATGATTGAGCTTAGCTCACAGCACACACTGTAGTTAGAGCTCTGACGGCTTCATCGCCTGCGTCCGGCGAGTACAAAGCATGCGTACAGTAGGGGGACGCACATTGCAGTATGTGCGCAAGCATTTCCGTGGCAAAACTCATTTGTTGTGCAAAAGAGGCCCTTCGAACCATCAACGTTTATGGCCTGGTGAACTGCTGCATTCAGCTCAATTGTAATTTAGTCTGCTCAATAGAGAGCCATGTCACATCTTCAGAAAATCACTCAGCCCTTACCCGGTTTTCGGCGCGCTGAGACTAGCGAATCTAAAGCGCAGAACTATTGGTGTCTACTGTCTATCCGACTAGGAGTTTTCATAACATATACATCTGTGAAATTTATTTCTTTTCAACTTTGATGCACGGTTTCAATTTTTTCTTTGGTGGATTGACTGGTTTTAACTATTTTTCTGAAGTTAGAACCGAATAGAAGGCCATCAACGCATGTCAAAACTAGTGTCTAGGTGACAAATGACCTCATATGAGGCCATTTTTTAGGTGGGTTTTTGCAATTCAAATAATTGTAGAATTTTACGGCGACTGCAGTGTAGATATTGAAACTACCCTATTAAACGTTGGCAAACCAGAAAACATTCAATTCGGCATCGCAATCTTTCATCAGCAACACTTTTGTTTTCCTCTACCATAATTTTCTTCAAAATGGTCAGCGTTAATGATCCTCGAATTATTACAGGTAACCGCGTACACACTCGTGCGCGACTTCTCACCTCTCAGAGCAAATGTATTCGCATGTATGGATCAGCCTCGAAACCAACGAGTTGTTGCACACATTTTGTGATTTTATGGTAAAATAAGGTTCTACTAAGAAACTTAGTAGCACCTTACGCAGTACTGATTATTTTATGGCCTCATCCTCTTCAATGTCTTCCCTTTTTTAAATGATCTCTGCTACCTCAGCTTCTTCAAGCTTCGAGCGATGACAGGTACTTCCACTTAAGTAGCTCTCCTTGCAATGAACAGAGACGGAAGGCATCTCAAACCTTCACCAATCAAATCGAGACACTCTTGTCTGACGGAAATGGTGCCACACGAGTCCCGTTTCCCTCAGGGCAGTTCGCCCCACCGATATTTATTTCCTTTGACCCCGACCCTTCACCTGCTCCTCGCGCCCTTTGATCATTCACCTGATCTATCCTCAGGTTGAAGGTCCTGCCAATTTCTCCTTAAGCCAAATGCAGCTTTTTGTGAATAATACCGGGCCTGGTTCTGCATTTCGATTCGGCTACGCTTTCTTCCCTGCTCTTCACGCCCTTTCCGCATGCAACTGATTCATATCCCTGAAAGGGCACTGTCTGCAATTTACACACCTGGACACCTTGCTGGAATTGAATACGTCCAATTATCCCACGTTTTTATCTCACAAGTAGCTATGCTTACAGTTGCTGCAAGTTGAACTGTAAACGAGGTAGGATGAACTTAGTTGGAAATTGTGGTGTGATATGAGGAAAAGCGGTATGTCCAGTCACTACCAGAGTTTTCGGGGCCCTCTGTCCGTGGTAGCTCAGAGAGACCGCGAGAATCGCGGGTAGAGTCGCGGTCAGCGCGTGAAGGGGTACTCGGGATCGAGCAAATAGAAGGAGTGGGTGTGGCGGTCGCGTCGCGGACCGCTATCGACAGCGTCGAAGAAGAACAAAACAAGAAGGGAGAAGAAAGAAGGAAGGACAAGTGTAGCGTAGAAGCGTAGGAAATAGGGGAAGAAGTAAGGGAAAAACAAGAAAAATGATGACGACGAAGGGTGCTGGTACCAGACTTAGCCAACTAGATAGGAACCGTAGAGAATCCTACCAGAGATGGGGTCCGATCACCTGATGCCTCTTTACTGTAGCGCCTTCCGACACCCGACCTATATACGCCGAGCGCCGTCGTCGGCTACTAAATGGGTAATTAATAATTAATTGTCGTCATTAGAATGGACACTTGGCATTAGACGCGAATTAGCGTAGAAACTGCTGGGCACCACGTATGTATACGTGTCGTACACGTGTCGTACACGTATCATATCCGTGTCATACGACTGTCATACACGTGTGTCCACGTGTGGTACACGTGTGGCCACGTGTGGGACACGTGGGGTACTTTCCCAAGTGTGCGGGCACAGTACACGTGTCAAAGGCGGGGAGCGCGGCCTCACGACGGCGGTGGCCAGGCGTACAGTACAGGGTCACTGCACTACAGATTTGGTTGAAGTGAAGAGTTCCCGAACTTGTTTAACCCAGGTCCCTTTTATGGACTTTCTTCCCGTTCTAAACAAGACTAAATACGAATTTTCCTACTAGAGCCTTCTAGAAAACGGTAGATAGGACTTTGGTACAATTGATACGGCCGCTGCTATACCGAGAGGGCGTCGGAAGCCCGCCCGACTACTGTACAGTAGTCTCTGTTTATTTTCAACTGCTTGGCGGACGGTTTTGGTCGCAGTAAGAGGGGGCTGCGGAGAAAGAAAAGTTTTGTAAGACGCTTTCCTGACCAATCGTTTCGAATGTCTCATATTTATATCAACAAAACATCACTTTTGCTCTGTTGTAAAACTTTCGATGCCTGCAGCCTTAATTGCTCGCTGAGCTATGCGAACTGCACGCAAAAACGCAACATTGGCATCATGAGTGGACTCTATGATGTGTTCAATGGCAAGCACCCTAAGTTGCTCCTTTTGTTCCGGGAACAGGCACCCCATAGTCATCGCCCTCACCATCACTACAAAAAGAACCCTCATGATTCTCCAAAATCAAATCTTTAAGTTCGCGATCCGTAAACTGCTGATGGAAAGCGTCCTCACCTCCTGGATTAAGCAGATCCGCAATAACAATTCTTCGCCCCATGGGTACAAGTCCTTCTATATCTCTCTGAGGTTCCGTGGTCAATGATGAAACCGCAGCATCTAATAGTACCTGAGCAGATGCAAGAATTCCACTAAGCTTCTAACAATTTTCAATATTAGAATCCAGAAGCTCCATCCATGCCCTTTTAAACCTCCTCATCGCCGCTAACGAATCAACCTTGCAAATTTCCTCAACATCTGATTCGATGTTGTCCAGTGCCCTCTCCATATAACACTTCCTGTACCGTTCTTTTAGGTGGCAATACTACCTGCGTCAAATCGTTGCACATTGGAGGTGCGGTTGGGTGGAAGGGAGATGACTTTCACGTTGGTTAGAACTCGTAAATTATCTTTCGTCCCATCTGAACTGCAGTTATCCCTATGCAAAACAACGTTTCGCCAAGGGGTCTGTAGCATAAACACCCCCAGCGATAGGGGTGTATGCACAGTTCGACCGAGACCCTTGTCGATCGGGAAGACGGGGGTGAAGCGGGACACCAGCTAACGGCAGCGGGCAGCGGGCCAGGGTATCGGGGTAGAGCGGGACGGGGAGGACGCGGGCACGCGCGAGCGGTTCGACGCCTCGACGCCCCGGCGTGGTACTGGTTAACGATCCAGTACCGACGGGCGGAGCCGGAGCCGGCTCGTGGGCGTGGCGCGCGCGTCCCCAACCCGCGCTCGGTGCCGCTCTAAGGAAATTAGCGAGCATTACCTTAGAATAAGCCGGAAGTCGGACCTTGACGGTCGGTGAGTTGTCGCATAAACACCCCACACACGGCGGAGGGGGTGTTCGCGATGTTCGGCGGAAGACCCCGGATCGGCGTACCGAGGGTCTTGAACCAACCAACGCCACCGGAAGCGGGCCGGTAGCGGGTGGTAGAGCGTGGTCGGCGGGGACGCGCGCGTAGGCAAGCGGATCGACGCCTCGACGCCCCGGAGCAGTACCGGTTGACGATCCGGTACTGACGGGCGGAGGCGGATCGCAGCTCGCCGCGGTGTCGCGCGCGTCCACTACCCGCTCGGTGGTCACTACTCGCGAAACGGCGGTGTGAGTAGAGTGAGCTGGGTGGTCGACTGTCGGTGGAGGGTTGCCTGTCCTGGTCCCCTCCCCCGGCGGTCGCTCCCTATATTTATTGTACAAGTTAATTAACCGTCTACAGTACAGTACGGACTGTACTGTAGTCGGCTTACTGTAGACAGTGCGGGCCGGCCCGCACTGTAACGCTGTCAGCCGTCGGGGCTGACAGCACACGTGTGCTACACGTGGGGTACACGTGTGGGTGCTCGCGCGCTGTAAGTTCCGCGCGCGCACGCTGTAAGGTCCGTACCTTACAGCGTTAGATCTAATTCTAAATCTAATATGTAGTACAGTAGTCGGCGGTTATGCTACACGGCCCCCCCCTTAGGCGTGAACGTCCGCGTTCACGTGTGCGGGTAGGGGGGGGACGTCTCCGGTTCAGGCGAGTTCCGATTGCGCCCCTGTTTTTCTTCATCCCTTTCGCGCAGGGGAACCGTCCCCCTGCATCTTCACAAATGGTCTTCCCCATTTTGCCCTGCTCCGTGTTCGCCCAACTT